AGTTATGCGTTGGCTTCCTGGAAATTGTCGACATTCGACCTGAAAATCGGCGAAATTTTGCCTTCAATGACCTCTGGTGATCTGACCTTTGACCTGACCAAAAAAGTGACCGAAGTGATTTCGTCATTATTTTTGGCGCTCTTTCGAACGCCGCCTTCCGCGTATCGCTACGTGGCCCAGGAGCCGAGTTAGAAGGGGGGTGTTCAAACACCCCCGCCAGCAGGGCGTGGAAATCCAGGACCCCCAGCCGGGCGCGGGTTAACCCGGCCGGGCCTGGGGGGTAATCCCAACCACCGCAGCCCGGGGGGCGTTTTTAACCCCCCCCCCCCCATGTCTAACTCCGTAACTAAGGGAGCTACGGAAACAAAAGCGATACCAAACGAAAGGTCCTTACGAGACGATTCTAAGGCATCTAAAATTTTTGACCTCAGGTCAATTTTCAAGGGTAGAGGTCAACGTCAAAGGCAAAAGCCGGCACATGTGTAGTGATCTCAAAGTAAGCCTTCTAGAGGACGGCAGGATGCATCAAACCGGCAAAATTGGGTGTCAAACCAAAGAAGAGAACCTGAGGATTCCGAAAATGTGCTCAAAATCAAAGTTTGATGTCAAGGTCACGCCCAAAATTGACCTCAAACTTTGCACTTTTTCGTACATCTTGCGTGCTAACTTCCAAAATGTTTTGAAATGTTTTGAGGCTTATCAGTTCCCTATTTGTGGTTCATCTTACGATAAAAGGCTGCTCAAAGGTCAAGGTCACAGAAGAGCATCCTTGCTAGAGGCTATTTCACTGATTCAACTTAGTAATAATAAATATGACAATTTTGCCATCCGGAAGCTCTAAATGAAGGCTTAGAGGAAAATAGATGCTAGATTCGTGATCAGCGGGTACAAATTCATCATAAACGAACTTTCATGTGTCAAGGGCAACCAAAGGTCATTCGAGGTCACATGAGGTCAACATAAAATTTGACCTTTTCCAAACAAAATATATTTCATTCGACGCGGCTTGACAAGGCAAATACGTAGGTACCACTGCCGTAGCTCTAGGACCATTTTTATCGAAGTTATTTGCGAAAAACTAAAACCACATTTCGGGGTCGTTGACCTGACCTCTGACCTCAGGTCACCCAAACTATTTTTCTATTTTTATCTAGGTCAAGCGCTACACAACCGTGCTCGTAATTTGTCTTTATCTCTAAAACTCTATTTTTTAGCAGCTATTTGAAGTTCGCGTCTGTAACGCCGAAGTTTGCCGTGCAGGGGTCTAGAAAAATCGACCCTGTGACGTCATCCAGGGGGCTAGGTCCAAATTTTTTACTTCAGAAGATGTCACATTGATGGGAGAAAAGGTACTGAAAGTTTCGCTTTCCTATCCCTAGGCGTTCGGGAGCTATCGCAAATACTCGCCAGGGGGGGGGGGCAAAAACTCCCCCCCCCCAGACCCGCGAGGGTTAACCCACGCCGGGCCGGGTATGCGTGCGTGCTTGTGTGTGTATGCTTGTGTTTGGACACTTCCCCGTGGTTTTTCGCAGAAATGTGGAAAACATTGGCGCGAAGCGCCGCCTTTTTTTGGCACACCTGCTTATACATCTTTTCCGTCTAAGCTGTAAAAATGTTAAACTGATTGCTCGACTCCGTCCCACGATTCGTGGTCGGAACCCGGCCGACCGGCCCTGCAATACGCGGCCGGCAGCAGACGCAGGACGATTTGACAGCCGCGCATCGACCGACCGGCCGCGTCGGGCCGGGCCGGGCCGGGCCGGGCCGGGCCGCCCGATAGGAATCCAATAACGGCGGAGCGCCCGACTCACGACCCTCCGACAAGGAGAGCTGAGCGGCGCCCGACTCACGACCCTCCGACTAGGAGAGCTGAGCGGCGCCCCACAGCCAGCTGTGTCAGCCGCGGCCGCAGCCGCACTCTCAGACTCTCAGAATTGACGCTTTTGCGGAAAATGCTTTACTGCAATAACTTTTGATATCAAGCTTGTACTTATCCATGGTATTGCGTTGATAAAGTATACCGTGTTTCCCTCGCCGCGTAGCGCCTAATGAAGTGTTATTTGACCTTAAAGGGAAACTATCACCATTTTCATTTTTATTAGATTGCACAGTTAAAATTTTAGAAGTCGTTCTGTGCAGGTTTCAGACTTACCAGATTCTTCAAACACGATCTTTCGATAAATGATTCCAGAGTCGCTTGCGAGTCTAAAATAGTACATGCGAAAAGCCTTCATCACTATTTTCATGATGGCCGACGGCGAAATTGTCACCTTGAATGGCGCACTTCATTCATCTATCACGCAATTTCCGAAGGCAAGCTACAACGTTATTTTTTTCAATATAAGCCTCGCGCCCGTTCCACATTTAAAGAAAAAGGCAAAAAATGATGTCAACACACAACCAAATGCCTTCGTACCTACCCGAACGTTGAATCTCGTCAACCCGACTTTCAACCTTTTGCGACTAGACATCTTAATTCAAGGTAGGTACGTTTTTCGGCTACTAGTCGTTTATTGTTTTCGGAAACGAAAACAATAAACGACTAGTAGCCGAAAAACGTACCTACCTTGAACCCGGCTTTGTTTACCTACTTTTGCGGCGGATCGATTCGCCGGGTCCAAAGCCGGGAATTCCGGCGCCAACGTTGAGTGAATGGTACTAATGTTTACTAATCTTCAAAGCTTGTCCGAAGCCACAGCATCGGCGAATCGATTTCTGCTTTCTTTTTGCAAAATGAAAAATGCGAAACGCCAATGGTTTTTGAAAAAATTTAACTCTAGTAATACATTCAGAATTTTCATAACCTAGGATGATTTTATTATGTTGATATTCGGCAAAATCGTAAATTAACCCTCGCCCGTATAGGGGCGTCGAACGGACCCCCCTCGGTTTTTTTCGCAAATAACTCGCGTAAAAAGCGGCCGATCGCAACGAAACTTCCAGTACCCTCCCGTTAATCAATTTTACACCTACCCTGAAAATTTCATGACCCTAACCCAAATGACCTTTGACCTGTGACCTACTTTTCGAGACCATGCTTGACCGGAATCGCGATTCGGCGTATGTCGGCTCGCATTAGCCGCGTGTTTGCAGTCTTTTCGTGGTTTCAAGCGTTTAAACATGTGATATGATGTTGCCCCCATGCACTAGAGTGGGTGTCAAGGTCACCTGAAGGTCAGGTCAGGTCATTGACCTTTGATGTTTCGAGTTTTACATGTTTCTAGGCCAGTTTTTGGAGCTGATTTCGAATTTAGCAACCATACGAACATTTACCAAGTAGTTTTGGTGCCTTCGTAACATGTTACGAAGCTGTCAGAGGCCGTTGACACCTACTACGAATACCCGACAGGACCCCTACTGGTTGACCTGACCTGACCTGACCCGACCTGACCTAAATGCATCAAGACATCATCTATGATCAAAACTAACATGATATTTGTGATCAGCACCCCGAAAAAACTCATAGCAGCCACGCTTTACGACGTTCTAACAGGTCCCGATTTTCCCGACTTTTGGGTCATTGACCTGACCTGGAAGGTCAACCAATGACCTAGGACCTTAAAATTGGGTATCATCGGCCTCTTCTCGTCACGGGCAGCACGCTCGTTTTTCCGCGAAGCTCTAGCTCAATCAGGGGCGAAACGGCAAGGGGGCGGGGGGGGGGTCCAACGGACCCCCCTTATACGTTCGCGGCTGGAAAAACACCAATACGGGCGAGGGTTAACTTTTGATTTGAAGTTTCGTTGAGAAGCTCCGATTTCACGCGATTCAAATATAGTGATAGTTGAGGAATCTGGTGGGTTTTAACGTAAAAATAGTACAAAAAGTAGGTGAAATCCCAATTTCAACATTAAATTACTCGTGACTCAGACCGAATTTCGAAAATCTGATTTCAGTTTCGTAAAGTGGAGTGCTGATTCTACCAAATATCAAATTTTGTATTTTAGCTGACAATTTACCTTTAAAGCCCGGTTCTGACTGCCGAAACCGATCGGAGCGGATGATAAGCGGATAGTGATCGTATGGTCAGCGTGGCTGGCGGAAAAAGCTAAAAATCGCTTGGCCCGATACGATCTGGTAACTGGTAGATCGTATCGTGCGGATCGTGCGGATCGTGTGGCGGAGTCCGCGTCCGCCATTACTGCCGGCGGCGATAGATAAGAACGAAATAAATACTTTTCACGCTTGAAGAGACGTTAAATGTAGTTTAAAACATCTCTCTAATTCTATGATTTAAGTAGTTTGAATGATGGTGAGCGTGGCTGGCGGAAAAAGATAAAAATCGCTAGGCCCGATGCAGTTTGAATAGTCGGGTTTGACCGTTCCGTGAAGTTAATCAGCATTTCGGCTTGATTTGAGCAGCATGGCGGCGGAAACCATTCCCGGCCGTGGAAGGTATAGTTTGCATGGTGGTGAGCGTGGCTGGCGGAAAAAGATAAAAATCGCTAGGCCCGATACAGTTTGAATAGTCGGGTCTGACTGTTCCGTGAAGTTAATCAGTATTTCGGCTTGATTTGAGCAGCATGGCGGCGGAAACCATTCCCGGCCGTGGAAGTTACGCGATTTTGAAAAATGCGTGAAAAAATAGAAAATCATGTCAAATTGTCCTGAAAAGTAATCCACAACCTAAATGTGAGTATTGTGAAATACGCACGCTAGCGGCGTTTAAACTTGCAAGTATCTGTCAGTCATTTTACGGTATAGAAAATGTCACGACTTCTGAAAATCATACACGAGGCCGGTTTTGACAAAAGCATGAAAATCGTGTTTTTCAGACACCCCAAACATTTGCCTGACTGGCCATATTACGATTTATTCGATTAGGTAAGCTTGAAATTTGGGCCTTTTCGGTATTTATGGCCACTTGTGAACCCCATTGGCATCACTGTGCAAGGGCCGCTGTCCAGTTTCCCGTCCGCCCCCCCCCCCCCCCCCCGAGAACGTGCCCCATTAGCTTTCAACCGGCCGTCACTGACCGACTCTTTCCCCCCTTCTTTCAGATAACTCCAACGGTAAGTACGCCGGCGAGGTCTGCCGCGTGGCGATCGGGACCGTGCCGCCGCGCCGGGATGTTCCAGTACGTACATACATACCTACTGAGAAGCGCGACCCGCGCCGGGATGTGCCAGTACCTACTGAGTAGCGCAACCCGCCCCGGGATGTGCCAATACTTTGGGGAGAGTGAGGTAAGCTGAACCAAGGGGCAAGTTTAGCCACCCCATGTTTCTCAGCTCTTATGGCACTCAGCAGTCAGCACTGATTGAGTTGAGTTGCCAGCTGTCATTCGCTTACGATGCTGCAGTCTTTCACGTGGGACGGTGACGTTTGCGGGACGCAGGTAAGAGAGCTGCATAAAAAACACGTTAAAATGATAAAAGTAAGCTTTTGATATTGCGGTTGATGGATGCTTACTCTGTCCTTAGCATCCAATAACGTGTGTTATCTCCCCTGATGACTTAGACATGTTTTGCCTTTAAAATTAAATGGTTGCGGTGCATGGTTATTTGTCTCAGCGGGTGTCATTAATCGAAAATGGCCTCGGGTGCGGCAAGATGAGTCATTTTCACCGGGGGAAGATGATCCGGATAAGCCATTGTTGTTTCCGCTGTACGAAAACCAAACTGAGCTGCGCTTGTTTCTTCTGAATAAAGATAGTAGGAACTTGTTTATCTTTGTTGATATCACCGATCGCAAATGATTTGCGGATCATCAGAAGGATAGAAGCTTGCCATTACTCATTTTGATCGGTCCTGCCCAAACACTTCAATGTCGCTGACGTATGTAAACGAAACCAGAGGACATCGCGGCGACACAAGGTACAAAGCAAGGCCCTAAAACATAAGGTTGGACGAAGTTTTCTACCAAAAATGTACTAGAATAGCGTACGAGTCAAAGCTATTTCCGTTGTTTCTTTACAAATACGTCGCAAACAAGGTTTTTCTGTAATAAATCATTATTTCGAAGTTAAGCATTAAGCAACCAGTTGCTATAAATTCAATAAGCAAACACTTATTTTCTATATAAAAGCCTAGCTTATATAGTCCAACTCTAGTTGAATAATCAAGTAGCTACTAAATTTTCCAGATGTGACACATATTGCGCACTTCAGACAAGTACGTTGCTAAGGCGTTGCTAAGGACTCTTTCGCATGTTTTGCTGCGTGGTTTTTGTTATGAAGTGAAGGAAGTGAGATGGACAAGCTTTTTGATATTTTTCTGGTTTTCTAGGACCGTCGCAATTATTTAACTTGACATACTTTTCTTGCTTTTTTATCCGAGGCTTTTTCAATAGTTGACTTGGTAGATTCTATCGTGGAAATAAAAGGGCCAGCAGGCCACATGGGTAAATGCAAGTCGACTGATTGTGAAATAAAAGGTAGAAGTGTCTGTTCCATTAGAAATATAATGTGATGTGATGGAACATGAAGCAACAGGATCAGGCGCAAGAACCACCAATTAAGAATCCAGAACCAGCAAGCGCTATGCCATCAAGAGCAGCCATGGTAACGTTTGATTAGCTTTCAGAAAACCTTTGAACTAGACGCCAGACGGTGAGCAATCAAGAGATCTTACAAGACCATTTGTTACTTGAAAACGAGAGCCGCCAGGAAAATCAGTAGATTCTTCAATGGCAACACATTTCAGTATCTATCTAGCAATGATTTGCACCAGCGAGGTGCTATCATTGTGTTTTGTGTCTGTATCCCTAACTGCTCAAAAAATATTTGTCAATAAATAAACAAACAAATATTGCGTCTTTTTCTACTGAAAGTAAGTCCTCCAAGTGGCAAGGGATGAATAATAGAAGGTACCTAATTTATTGCCATCTATTCATTCAATTCATAAATCATAGGCAATTCAGGGCATCGATCGGCAGCGCCCTTACTGCATGGCACTGCGGATCGTCCATGGGTTTCTTGATGACTCCGACTCTGACTCAGACTTTAAAAAATCAACCCTGACTTTGATTTCAAATGTCGGCTCTGACCGACTCCGACTCCACGTCCACAGCCCTAGCAGGTCTGCGGAGGCAATGGATTTTTGGTGACTCCGACTCCGACTCTGGCTTTCAAAATCGACTCTGACTCTGACTCTGGTCAGAACTGTCGACTCGGACCGACTACAACTCCGACTACGGAACCCTGATAGGTCTGCGGAGGGGATCGAATTTCGGTGACTGACTCAGACTCCTGCTTTTAAAATCGACTCTTGACTCCGACTCGACGACTCAGGTCAGAACTGTCAACTCCGACCGACTTCATGACTCCGACTCCGGAGCCCTACTGGCAGCTATCACGCCAGGGAGCTGCAAATCATATGTTCCGTGGCGGTTTATGGCATTAAAGTCGATAATGCGGCTGAATCGCACCATGGAACACCCTTATTGGCTGCAAGAACCACGAAAGTTAGCGCATCACCACTGGAAAACGTGACAAGATATCGATTAATTGGCCCTGGATTTGGATAAATAACATGTTGATGATCATATAAGCACACTTTTACATTATCATCTATCTCAAGGTTGCCCTCCAGGCGGCTCTAAACTATGGCAATTTCCCTATCTTCAACATGTAAATGCCCTCGGGCGTCCTCGTGGTGACGTAGGCATGGGAGTGCCAGTTTGGTAGGAACTAGACTTCGACGCCCCCTGGTACAAAGGAATATGGCACAAAATCACTCAAGATCGAATTTCAACACTGTCAAACGAACAGACAAACAAAACTGTGCAATGCAAATGTACAATGACTCAATTACGATATGAGCATAACCGCTACCCGTTAATCGCCTCCTTGAATCACGGTTAGGCCATGGGTACAAGAAATTGCAGCACTCAAATTTAACGCTCATTTCGGTGGGTCCTGCCCCGCGACATTGACATAGGGGAGAGGTCGGGTACCGCGGGCCAGCAATGGTCAGAGGAAGGACTGCGGTCCAATCTCTAAGGTAAACGACCCACCGCAACCATAGCCTTAGAATAGGACACCAGTCCCATTAACCGGCTCTCAACAAGTCGCGCTGCTGCGCCGTGGAGCGAGCTGACGGAGCCGGCAAAGCGGTCCGACCCCGACAAACTCACAACACGGGCAACGGCCCGGTCCCAACCGACTCTCGTGCCAGAGTATCCCACCGCCGCGGCCCTGACCCCACATTGACCTCTGGTCACGTGACACCCACGATCACCAATCAGCGCGGCCGAGCGCCCGCCGGGTAGACTGCGCCGCTGCGCTGCTCGCTGCAGCAGCGGCGACCAGCCTGGCAGCCCGGTGGCCGTAGAACGGTACCACAAAAAGTCACATTAGGGTTTCCCGGACGGCCGTACACTCATTGAGAGACAAATACCCGGGTTATGGGCAGCTTTTTCGGATCATCTAGACCCGCGTCTGACCGTAGGCAGTCTGTCGTGTCACCACTGGTGCCAGTACACATTAGAATGCCCATTGGACCCGAAATTTTGTGAGCAGTATATAAAAAGTAAAGGAACGGTCAGAGTGGATCATGGAAGCCGAAGCCGGGGTCGGAGTTTGCGCCACTAAAAAAAAACCTTCCGACTCCCCAGCCATGCCAGGTCTGTAGAGTCAGATTCGGAGTTGGAGTCGGTCGGAGTTGAGTCCGGAGTTGGAGCCCGGAGTCAGAGTCAGTCGTTTATTGGAAGCTAGAGTCGGAATTGGAGTTGAGTCGCCGAAAATACATAGACTCCGCAGCCCTGACGTAGACAGTGAATTTTATGGGGTAAAACGCCCTCTGGGGCGTCTTACCCTCACCCACATACTAGGGGCGTCTTACACAAAGGTTGTTGATGTCTTTGAAGTCCACTTTCTCACGAGATTCAATCGTGACGCACAAACTCGTTGCGACACGTAAAGCGCCTCTCTGTGTAAGGGAAAAATGAGTACCGTACCCATGTACCTAATCAACTTTAAGGCCCTTTCCCATTTATGAGATGGAAAATTAAAGCACAACAATTTATAGCAGAACATGTCAAAACATTAAAGTGCTCACCGCCAACAAACGACTCCACCTCGGAACCGAAAGTCTTGCTCCTACAAACAAAAAGCGGAAATAAACGTTGCAAGAACTTAAATAAATCATATATCGACACCTTTTTTTAAACCCCACATTTGTTCTCCGGTGAATTTCAGACAAGTTGGTTAGAGTCGAGACCTTCAAAAAAGGTACAATCACTCGAGTTTTCTCAAGTGTGTCTGTCTTGGCAGATAAAGCAATACCAGAACAGGCCTACGAACACACATATTTGATCAGGATCGGACGATTGGACACTTTTAAAAGGAGATATTTCGTGCCTCCCGTAAATTCACGGGAGAGCAGATGTGGGGTTTAAAAAAAAGGTGTCGATATATGAACAATTTTTTATATTATATCGAAAAGGCGTCTTACCCCAGCCGGGCGTCTTACCCAATCTCCCCTTATATATTTTGGTGTTTTGTAAATTGTAAAAATGTATTGCAGAAAAACGTCAATTTTTATACTTTTTGCCCTTTGACTGCTAAGCCTTTGACTCGAGGTCACGTCTGATTACACTAACCAAGAAGAGATCAGATGGATTAGTAACCTTTTGCTCATAACTAATGTAAGCCAAAAACAAATCCAAAATGAAAAATCCAAATCCAATCCAAATCCAAATCCAAATCCAAATCCAAAATGAAACAAATCCAAATCCAAAAAAAATCCCCACTGAAGAAGGTCCAGCACCGAAAATATATTTTGGATTTGTTTTTGGCTTACATTAGTTATGAGCAAAAGGTTACTAATCCATCTGATTTCCATTATAATCATAATCATGCTCAAAAAAACGTTTCACACCATTCAATAACCAAGAAGAGCTTTGAAAGGCCCATGCAATGCGCTTTTCTGCGGCGAGCTTTAGTTGTTCCTGATTTATGCGCCAATTTGTGAATGAAATGTCAAAATCGGAAAATTGGCGTCATAATTAATGCTTGGTGACTCCCAGTGACCCCAGCGATGACCGGATTTGAAAATGACCTTTGTACTTCCGAAGATCTTATAGGGATCTACTGGTTTTGTCCGCGTCTTTCTAGTGTTCCTATAGTTTCGGAGACCTGGCCTCCCCCTCCCCTGCCATGGCGAGGCTGGCTGAGACCCCCATCGGGTTACGGCCTAAGATGCCCTCTTGGTAAATGAAGGAAAACATATTGGCTAAAATCATCACTTTCGCATTACACTAACTAAAAACTTTTTTTTACATTGATTTTAGGTTTATAAATCAATAAAAAATTAGCAATGAGCATGCCGCAAATGCTCTCATTGCCTTAAACATTCTTTGTAGAGTGGAATCAAGAAGGAGCTGAAGTTCACACTGCATCCGGCTGGAGAGGGTCAGCTATTTCGGCTGTCGATCCAGGAGGTGTCGCGCCGGCGCCACTTCCCGCCGCCACGGTCGAGGGTCGGCGCGGCCGCTCTGATACGGTGCCTTTGTTCCAGAAGACCGCAAACTGTTCATTGGGATGCTGAGTAAGCAGCAGACTGAAGAGGACGTCAAGCAGCTGTTCCAACCGTACGGCCGCGTCGAGGAGTGCACCATACTGCGAGGAAACGACGGCGTCAGCAAAGGTCAGTTCCCGCACGGCGTCACAGGATCAGTCGGCGGGGGGGGGGGGGACAGCGGTACCGCGCGCTTCATTTCGGTCCCTCTGTATTTAATAACATAGAACGTTTGCCATCGTTCACCTCTGCCACCAAACAAGCCTCTTGTAACTTATTTTTACGGTAAAAGCGACTTCTCGTAACTTATTCTACAGTAGCATCGACCTTTCGTAACTTACTCTGCATTAACCCTCGCCCATATGGGGGGAGGGGGGTCGAACGGCCCCTCCTCGGTTTTTCGCAAATAACTCGCGTAAAAAGCGGCCGATCGCAACGAAACATTCAGTACCCTCGAGCTAATCAATTCCTATGCTAAAAATTTCATGACCCTGACCCAAATGACCTTTGACCTGTAACCTGTTTCTAGAGGCCATGTTTGGCCGGAATCGCGATTCTCCCTATGTCGGCTCGCATTAGCTGCGCGTTTGCAGTCTTTTCATAGTTACAAGCGTTCAAACATGTGATATGAGACGTTGTTCCCATGCATAAGGGTAGGTAGGTGTCAAAGTCACCTGTAGGTCAGGTCAGGTCATTGACCTGAGTTTTACAGATCTATCTAGGCTACTTTTTGGAGCTGAATTCGAATTTAGCAAACATTTAAACATTTACGAAATGGTTTTGGTGACAATTTTACGTAGCTAACAGAGGCGGTTAACACCTACTACGAATATCCGGCAGGACCCCTACTGGTTGACCTGGCCTGACCTGACCCGACATGGCCCAAATAAAGGCACCATCTGTGATCAAAACTAACATGATTTAGTGATCAGCACCACGACGTTATTGGCGCAAAATGACCTTTGCAGTCGGCGCGCCCTAAAGCCCCAATAAACAAACAAACAAGTGATCAGCACCCCGAAACACCCTATAGCAGCCATACTTGGTGCCTGTCCCGTAGCTCAGTTGGTAAAGCATTGGACTCCCGGTAGTGAGAGCCCGGGTTCGAGACGCTCCGGCGCTCGATATTTGAGACTCCTGACGGGGATGGTCTGCGGTTGGTGGGAGCAGCCGCAGCCAGTAGAAGTCAGCTGAGTGGGACAGGCCGTGTCCGGCTTTGAAGGGCACGTTAAACTTTGGCATCTAAATTCTCCCGTTACCCGGAATTGCGCGATCGGACGGTAGAGGTCGGGGTCTACGCAACAAGCTCTGCTTAGCGTGGGCTCCGGCTCTGTCAATCCGTCCATTCAAACATTCGAGCTAGATTTATATAGAAAAATTACGACGTTCTAACAGGTCCCGATTGTCCCGACTTTTGGGTCATTGACCTGACCTGGAAAGTCAACCAATGACCAAGGACCTTAGAATTGGGTATCATCGGCTTCCTCTAGTCACAGGCAACAACACGTTCGTTTTTTCCGCGAAGCGCTAGGTCGATCAGGGGCGAAACGGCAAACGGGCCCAACGGACCCCTCCCCCTCTTACTTTTGCGGCTGGCAAAACCAATACGGGCGAGGGACCCGCGCCCCATTAGGGTCTGAGACCTGAGTGTAACGACAGGGTATCCCAGAATTGACCGATTACCGTTTATCAACTTATAAGATTAGGGAAAAAATAATTGCACTTTTTTGTTTTTATCATCCGATATCGTCAACAAGGTCAGCTACGAAATAACACAGGCAATGGACACGCTAGTTACATGATTAACCGACAATTGTGAATGTAACTTCATCCTGGCTTCGCGTGTTTTACCGGTCTCCCGGAACTGGTTGTAGGCTGGTTTTTGTTTGCCTCTTGCTGGAGGATATTACAAATATGTTCGATTAAATTCACTTCTTAACTGTTCCAAGGCACTCTCCGCAAAAAAAACACAAAAAATTGGTCTTACACCAATGTTACGTATTTTTTGACATCTGAGGTGGAGAACCTCCATGCCTGAACATGGCGCAACCTTTCGTTTCGCTTCTAGCAGATTTGTTTTCCAAATGAAACCCGTTCTTAGCCATTGCGTTCACGGCATTTAGTTTTTGTAATACTAGAATATTACCGCAGTGGTACTCTCTGCTAGCAGTCGTGTTTTTGGTATCACGTGAAGCTGAATGAGTGCACCGTGGCTCAAAATGTCTCACACTTTGATTTTCGACGCGTGCCTGGCCTTTTCCGCTATTGGGGCGTTGACGCCATCTGAAGACCACACACGACGGTTTTTGGTGGTTCGAGGGGCAGAATACCTCAAGTAGATATTCTTAGCCCGCATCCCACTGGGGTCTGCGTATAACGCGCCCTACTGTGGGGGGGGGCTCTTCATAGCCCCCCCCCCCTCCTAACTCCGAAACTACTGGGCCGATCGTCAAAATTAAAACGGCGTCTGATAGCCCCGGAAAACTGATTGGCGAAACATAATTTCATTGACCTCGAGGTCACCGATGACGTCACAGGTCAGGTCAAAGTAATCATCAGTATTTGGCTTGTTCTTATTCTGGGCTCTGGCCGCCGGCTTACAAGTCAGATTAGGCTCATTTTTGGTTTAGGTACACACTCGTGAACAGATGCTTTAGATACCCTGAGGGTACCAAACTTGTACTTTTCAGGTCAGGGTCAGGTCATCACAGGTCACGGAAATTTTATACCATACATCGGTCACGTGACACATTTTTATGGTCCATTTAGGCCAGGGGTCGGCAAATGGTGGGGCATGCCCCCTTTGGGGGTAATGGAGCCCTTTCGGTGGGGTAATGAGGGATTCTGAGAAAACCTATCTTTTTAGAGTTAGGGCCTCCATTGATGGAACCATCGTGACTGTTGCATCCCAGGGTTAAAAAATTAGCCCAGGTCAAAGGCACAGCACACATTGATAAGATACCAATTTTCACATAGCTGCTCGCCTCACCATCCCACCGCGGTTCCGTACAGTCGTACAAAAGCAGCTGCAATTTTTAGCCGTCGCCCGTCTGTTGGCGCTTCCACAGCCGCTAGCGTAAGGGAGAGAGAGGAGTCGATCGGACCCCCGCGGCCTCTCGGACTCTGAGATGGAGCTGTGCATAAAAAGACGAGCGTATTAGCCGTGACTATAGGAAGCCGCTGCTGCCCATTTTTAAGGTCTTTGGTCATTTCGTGTCATTCCGGAGGTCAAAGACAAGTGTCGAGAAAATCGGGACCCGCTATAACTTCTTGAAGTGAGATTTTATGGCTCAAGCTGACCTCCAGAAAAAGCTCATAAGCCAATGATCATTATGGGTCCAGAGGCCAGTTTTACCGACAGAAAAATAGCTGCCTGCCGGAATTTTTCGCCTTAAGACCGCTTCACATACGGAGCGTAAACGGTAAAGCCCTATCCACTTACATGCTCATCGCGCTTACGTACGCGCTTACATCGCGTATGTGAAGCCAGTGATTACGTAAACGTAAACGTAAACGGTAAAACCCTATCCACTTACATGCTCATCGCGTATGTGAAGCGGTTTGTAGGCAAAAACTCCGGCAGGCGGCTATTTTTCTGTTGGTAAAACTGGCCTCAGGAATTCCCGGGCAGGTTAAGAAAAAAATGATTGGCTCGAGGGTACAATTTGGTCGTGATCCAACGGCTTTTACGTGAGCTTTTAACGAAAAACCACCCGCCGCCCCTATATGTACGAGGGTTAAATGGGATATACTAAATGCTTTGTGGAGGAAGTGTCATGTTTTAAATTTGATGCATTGGAAATGCAGAAATACCCAAAGAGTTCCAGAAAGGTATGGAATTTCAGTAAACTTGGTTGTGACAGCAATGGGGTCTGGTAGGTGGGGGTAATGGCCATGCCTGGCGCCTAAAAAGGGGGCACAACCCCGAGTCACCTGCCGACCACTGATTTAGGCCATATATTTCGAATATGATGTCAGATATGTCATTCGAGGTCATTTTGAGTCCAATTTAGCTTAGGTCAAGCCACTTTCCGGTCAAAAAAGGTCAAATTTTTAAGTTTAAATTCTTTAACCCGCGCGGGGCTGGGGGGTAAATTTTACCCCCCTCGCAAATTTTCGCAATATCTCAAAAACGGCGGCGCGCAGCGCCGCCAAACTTTCAGTACCTTTTTTACATCAATTTGACACGTTCCCTGAAAATTTGAGCGAAATCCGTCTGAAATTTTTTGAGAAATTGACGTTTTAGTGACGTCATGTTCGCCATTTTCGCCTCAAAAACGGCAAAACTTCAAACGCCACTAGCATCTTCATTTTTAAAGGAATCAAGACGTAACAAAAAAAGGTTATACGTCATTCTACTTTGTCTATCAAATGGCTATCTCGGTTTTTTGAAAATTTTGGATTTTGGGCCAATTTTTTTTCAAAAAACTGACTTTTTGGGGAAAATAGCTATAAAATCCAAAATTTTGAGTGTATCGAAAAAACCGGAATATATCTCAGAGAAGTGGTCTATGTGCACCGACATACCAATTTTAAGAAGAATCGGTTCAAAAATGTGGGAGTTATTCAAAATTTTATGACGTCACGACACACAAAAATTTTGAAAAATGATTTTTTGGAAGTTCGAGACCTCGTACGGAAACAAAAATAGCACCATTCGATTCGCCGTGAAAAACTGCATCAGATAGAGACCTTTTTAGGCCTTAAGAACCAACTTCAAAATTTGACCTCACTTGACCTGACCTTGACCTGAACTCGACCTGAAATTCATCCAGAGGTGGTCCATATCACTTATTGAGTGTGCCTATTGAATTTTGTGGGTAAAATGGCCCATAAAACATGTGTCGCACATGCCCTTTTCTATATTTTGTTTTTTGGTGACCTGACCTGACCTGACCTGACCTGACCTTGACCTTGACCTCTGAATGATATTGTATGCAACGCATATTGTCTTGGTAGCCTAAGAACACGTTTTGGGCAATCAGTCTCAGTCGATCACTCCATTCTTCGGCAACTACGGTGCAAGACCGATACTGTAGAAACTTGCAATTTGTACCCTTGACCTGACCTTGACCTTGACCTCAAACTTTGAATTAAGTACATGTTTTTAGTTGTTCGTGATGAGATCTTTCGATTGGCGTTTGAATTTTCCAAATCGGACCATTAGTTCGGGAGATAAGAGGGGGGTAAAATTTACCCCCCAGCCCCGCGCGTTCGGCTGGAGACCCCAGCCCCGCGCAGGTTAACAAAACACGTGTCTATCGGATGCAGTTGGAGCTCAGGAACACGATGGTGCTATTTATATTGGTGTACGATGTCAAATACGTTCTGAAAAATGGATTTGAAAAATTATAATTGTGAATTTTTTGCTATGAATTCGTATAACTTGGCCATTTTTGAAGCTAACTGGCTAAAACTTGCTTGCGTTAGTCATAAGCATGTGTTCTATCACATATTTTGAGGTTTTTCGAGAAGTCAAAAACATTTTGAAAAAAAATATAAATTTTTATTTTAATATGTATATTTCTAAAAAAAACTTTTGAATATCTGAGATAGCAGTTTGATAGAGCAGTCTATTGTGAGTCCTCTCATGCAATGAAATTAGATCTAGTTTAAAAAACTGAGCTCTTGGGAGCGATTCTCGTGGTTCAATATTTTGCGTCAAAATCGGCCGAACATGACGTCACTCTGACGTCATTTTCGGCCAACTTATGGTAGCTACGAAGTTCATATTTTAACACTAGATGTCAAATTGATGCAGCCGAAGGTGCAGAAAGTGTCGCGTTGATGCGCCAAGCGGTTTAGACGTTATTGCAGAGAAACGAGAGGGGGCTATAAATCCCCCCCCCCAGTGGGTTGGGGCCTAACAGCGGCTTTTCGGTAACAGCGACCTCTCCTAATCTATTTCGAACAGCATTGAATACTATTTCACTGAGCACAGAGCATAGAGCACCCCCTCAATTTCTAGCACCGATCTGTCTCGAGCTGGAAGCCGGCGTGGATGCCGTCGCCGGCTGCAGTGCACGTGGACGTTCACTCTGCTCTGTTGACAGGCTGCGCGTTTGTCAAGTTCTCGTCACACCAAGAGGCGCAGACGGCCATCAGCAGCTTACATGGCAGCCAGACGATGCCTGTGAGTACCGCTGGGAGCGTCTGCCCGCCGCCTGACCGGGGTCGCAGCTCACAGCCTCCTCCCTCAGTCCCTCATGCGCCTGCGGTTGTTAATTGGCATCCTTGGTATGACTATGAACTGTGAATGTGACTGGCTGGCAAACACCGCGCCGCCATGCACCGCCAGTTGGCCCACACCAATCGGCTGTCAGCGGCTAGAAGAGCTGAGAAACACCGAGCGGCCGGTGGGTAAGTGTGGGAGGGGGGGGGGGCGAGGCGGCCCGTGCGCCCGCAGACCCGTGTCGGTGCTGTGACGGTCGGAGCTCTGTATGAACAGTCCACAGCAGAAGTAATGTGTGGTTTAGTCATGGGTATGTTCTGCTTCTGAAGCTTAGGAACGATTAGCCAGACTACAATGAAACTTTGAATGTAGCTTATATGTATCGTCACCCTTGCAGCTGCAGCTTTAGCTATTGACATCTTCTTTTCGATCACTCCGCATTATACAATCGCCAGTCAAAGCCAACCGTTGAGATTGGTAAAACCCTACATTACTTTAGCGGTGGGCTGTACCTGCGTCTGTGATCGCCGCAGGGCGCCTCGTCCAGCTTAGTGGTCAAGTTCGCCGACACTGAGAAGGAACGTCAGCTGAGGAGGATGCAGCAGATGGCCGGCAACATGGGACTGCTCTCGCCGTTTGTCGTCAACCAGTTCGGCGCCTACGGCACATACGCGCAATTTGTCGACAGCGTGAGTATACCTGCCACAGGGGTGCGCGCTGGCGCCAACGGTGTGTACACGGGATTCCATGACAAAATATAGAAACGCAAAATATCGAAAGCAAAATATCGATTCGCATGATATCGAAGTCGCAAAATATCGAAATAGCAACATATCGAATAGCAAAATATCGACTCACAAAATATCGAAGTTGCAAAATATCGAAAGCCCAAATATCGAAAAGACAAAATATCGAACGCTGAATATCGAAAATACTAAATATCGAAAGCAAAATATCGAAAAGACAAAATGTCGAAAGGACGAAATGTCGATAGCAAACATCGAAAATATAAAACATCAAAAGCAAAGTAACGGAAGGACAAATTATCAAATGCAGAATATCGAATGGTCAAAGTATCGTAGAAGCAACAAATTATGCGCTGCACCAGCGTGGGCAGTGTGTGTCGCTCAACATAGACTGTATTCCTTAATTTTGAAGAAACCTGAAAACCCAAAAACTCGCAACCCGCATGCGAGGTCCAGTGTGGGGTGTCGTAGCCAAGCCAAGCCTAGCCTATCCTTGCCTTACCTAACTTAGCCTACCCTAACCTAACCTAACCTAATCCAACCCAACTCAACCATAGGCGGCGGAACGATTTGAGACAAGGGGGGGACACCAGCTCAAGGAGCCAAACCTAGGGTACCCCAAATCCTGTTTTCTCATCGGATTTAGGCCACTTATTTTTCGTCACAGCCCTGACACGATGATTTTTTATTCATTTTTTTTTTTACTAAACGAAAATGGCAGTTCACCCCCGTATGTGTGGTTAACTTTAAGCTGATCCTCAAGTACCTATGGTTTGTCTCTTCCTTATTCTCGTTTGATAAATTCCATTGATCCTACATGTATCAAATTACCAAGAAGCCATCGCAGTACTAATCAGTGGCGAATCCCAGGGGGGAGGTCACATGGGTCATGACTTTGGGCCTGGGGTCACCACATGCCTGCCAGGAGCACCACAGGCCTGACAGCCGACAGGGGCACCACAGGCCCGCCAGGGGTACCGCAGGCCTAGCAGGGGCACCACGGGCCTGTCAGTTGCACCACAGGCCTGTCAGGAGCACCATCGGCCTATAGCAAAAGCACTACAGGTCTTCCAGGGGCACCACAAACCTGACAAGGGCACCTGCGTTCTAACGGGGGCACCACAGGCTCGCCAGGGGACCACAGACCTGCCAAGGCCCAGGGACACCACAGGCCTAGCAAGGACACCACAGGCCTGTCAGGGGCACCACGGGCCTGTCAGGGCCCATGGGCACCTAAGTCATGTGCAGGGCCCACCGTAGGCTTGTCAGGGGGCAGGGTAGGGACTCAAGGTACCACAGTCTTTCCAGGGGCACCAGCGGCCTAGCAGGGGCACCAGTCATCACACGACATTCAAAAATAAAGAAAATAAAAAAACTGAAAATAGGGCACCACCAAAATTAATTGGCCGAAATCCATTGAGGTTTTCATTTTGGGCATAGGTAGGAGCACCACTTCGATTCATGACCCTCCCCTTGGAGTTTTCCCGAATCCGCCCCTGGTACTAATTCATCAAATTTAAGGTGGCACCTTGCTATTGGTGCCCCCCTTGCAGAATTCAAGGGGGGCACGGTGCCCCGGTGCCCCCCCCCCCGTTCCGCCGCCTATGAACTCAACCCAACTTAACCTCTTTGAAGCTTTTTTTGCATTTCAAAACAAAACTGTCGGAAATGCCAATGCATCAGCGTTTGTTTTCAATATTTTGCTTTCGATATTTTGTCTTTTCGATATTCTGCTAGGTATCTATATTTTGTCTTTTCGATATTCTGCTTTCAATATTTTTTTTCGATATTCTGCTTTCCATATTTTGTCTTTTCGATATTCTGCTTTCGACACTTTCTTCTTTTTGATATCCTGCATTCGATATTTTGTCTTTTCGATATTCTGCATTCGATTTTTTGTCTTTTTGATATTTTGTCTTTTCGATATTTTGCAACTTTGATATCATGCTATTCGATATTTTGCTATTTCCACATTTTCCGCTTCGATATTTTGCCATTTCGATATTATGCTTTTCGATGTTTTGCAACTTCGATATTTTCTATTTCGATATTTTGCCACTTCGATATTTTACCTTCGATATTTTGCGATTCGATATTTTGTCCGGAACCCGGTACAGGGCCCGCCATTCATCGACTGGTGTGTGTTCCGAGATGTATGCCTGTGCTGCACAACACATGCGTAGGTATGCATCATGCATATTAGGTTATAGTCTGTTCCAAATCAAGCTTGCGGTCGGAGTTTCTTCGGCAGATCGCTCCTCCGCTCAAGAATTTCGTCTTGAAATGTAAGAGCTGTATGTACGGAAATCACCCACTGCTTTCAGCAGGACACTTCGGCTGCAAGCTTGAAACGGAACAGAGTATAGTAAGAAAAAATCAAAAGTTTTCAGACTATAACTAGTGTACATAGAATCCCGCAGATTATCTGCATTGGTGGGAAAGCACTATCATGAAAATTTGAGCCTAGGTGAGGTGAGGTGAAAATGAGGTTTTAAGGCGTCCCTGTCCATTGGACATTCGGCCGCCTGTAAAGAATCTGTTTGCTAGAAAAATATCGAATTGCTAGAATTTTGATATTGCAGTGCTCATTTACTTTAATTAAGTGTGTGAGTTCTAAAATTTTGACCCTTAAAGTGCTCGGTAACGCGTTGTGGCTTTCTTGGGAGGTGAGTGGGATCCTGGAACTTACTTTACCTACTGTTAGAATAAGTTTTACGTTATAGTTACTTTAAAGGGTTGTTAAGATACCACTTTGTCCTCCATCAAGACAATAAATTCGATTTGGGATTAATTTTGCCATGGTGCCGGCACATGGCCTACTCTTCACGAACTACACCATGGGTTCTTTATCGTGCGGGTTAGGAGGCAATCCCCACACCCCCTCTCACGCCGGGTGTCGCGTTCACCCTACAATGCCGGGTGGTGCATGGGCCTAAATAATTATTGTCTGAAGGACAAGACTGCATGGCCATTTAACAACTTTGAAGAGGTGAAGACCAGTTGGCCTCTCTTAATTTCGAATCTCTCCTGTCTGCGCGTGACTGGCACCAAGCTTGGACCAGCGCACGGCTGAGTGGTGTGGTGAATGTCGGCCGGCGTAACTGGCACCAAGTTTGGACTAGCGCCCGGCTGAGTGGTGTAGTGAGTATCAGCCGGCGTATCTAGCACCAAGCTTGGACCAGCGCACGGTTGAGTGGTGTACTGGGTGTCAGCCGGCGTAACTGGCACCAAGCTTGGACCAGCGCACGGCGGAGCCAGGAGAATTCTCGAGTGTGATTACCGCTAAGTCAACTGTTGGGATGGACTTAGGAGCATGACACCTTCATGTCGCATAGACGCTTCAGAGTGTGTCCATATCGACGGTGTTAGGCGTTGCAGTCTCCATTGGCGGAGCACAGATGCGGTCGGTGCCTAATACCAGGTGGCTTGGGAAACTGCCCTCCGTTCACTGTTCGAGCTAATAGACGGAGTGCTTTATGGTGATGAACGATGCATTTTCAACATGTCCTTATTAACTGAGAGTTTTCACCGCTATTCCCTAACCCCAACCAATCATCAAACTGTGTTGTGAACCATTTTAGCCCTCGGGTCATACTGCCAGTCTTTTAAAAAAGTTCCAGTCTTGTGTTATAATTACGATCTAAGCCAAAGCAAATATAAATGAGCACATGCTGTTTATCGACCAAAATGCTATTTTTTTGTGCTCCCTCCCTCCCTTTTGTAGACGTCGTCAAGCAGTCAGCAGTTGCTTGACTTGATCACGTCCAGCAGTCAAAAATATCAATGCAACACATTTGCTTTGTATATTCATAGTCATTCAAACTAACTTATTTTTCCACTAAAATTGAAACTTTCAGTGCAAGCTCGCGACCCCTAAAAAGGTTCTGACATCGTTATTTCTGTCACTGCTAGATTCAGAACAGAGCAGATAATGGGAAAATCGACCCCAACTTGTTGCCCAATAGTTGCCCCCCCCCCTTTACTTCTGCAAAGATACCGTCGCAAAGCGAAGAGATACAGACGCGAAACTTTGCACACATCTTTCTGAATACCTAGCAGAGGTTGTGTCCAAATTTGATATCGATCCCATCTGAAATGTCACAGTGACGTCAGAAGTCAAATTATAGATTTGCGACTCTCAGTTTCCTCACGATATATACGATATATGAGACCGAATACAAAGGACCGATTATTGGTCAGGAACAAGTTAGCAGTGTACTTACATGTTTTAGGATGACAGTAGGTGCTGTCTAGTTAATTAACAGTTGAGTTTCATGCTTGGCGACATCAGAAACGTCCATATCGGAAAAAAACAAAACTTTATGTAGTCACTGTGACGTCATCTTACGTGCTACAACCACCACACTTTGACACCACACTCAAATATTGCCTAGGTATTCATTTCAAGCTATGCCACGTTTCACGTTCGTAGCTCATCAGGTTTCGGAGATATTCCACAAAGCGTAAAGGGGGCAACTTTATGACCCCCCCCCCCCCCAGCGGCTCGTGGGTTAACCCTGAGGTGAAACGGCGCTATGACCGGAGTTAAACTGGAGCTAAGGTATATCAAGGGGTAAAAAAGAGGGGTGAAAAGGCTAAGGAAATTTAATGAGCAGGTTCGGCCGAACGGTCGAAACCATAACCGGTAAGGAAGCAAACTTGTTTGATTTAGGGGAATACTGGCATCAAAGGTCGCCCACAACGGCGTACCTCCAGTAATAAGTTAATGGGACGGTCTCAATCGCCGGAGCGACGCCCGAGCTCTGAGAGCACGCGTCGAGACGGGCACGTAAGTACCGCACAGAGATCGAGAGCCGACTGAGCGCCGCTCCGAGTCCGACCCCAGGTCAGCTCGGCCGGCGCCGGGGCGCTAGACGCCCGGCCCGGCCCTCCGATTGGCCGGCGCTACAGCGAGCACGGGCAACGGCCGGCGGAGCGCCCAC